AATATTCAACTAATATGCCACATGAAAGATATATTATTTTAGCTTACAAAGAGAAGAGAAAGTTGCCTGTGATGTCCTAGTATGAGGCGCTTCATATAATTTTTATCATTTAATCTTCAAAATAAGCCAAATGTTATTATGGATTTTACCAATGAGGAAATTAGTTTGAAATTTCAAAGGTTAAGTACCATGATCACTGTCTTCTTTTAAAGTTCTTATTTAAATTCTAGTGAGTTAACATATAGTGTAATACTAGTTTTGGCTGTGCAATTTAGGGATTCAGTACTTCCATACAACACCCTGTTTTCAATATCTTATAGTTGTTAAATACCAGAAGTATGATTTAAATCCTTATCTTCATGATTCCCAAGCCCATTTTTAGCACTATAGTACATTTACTTATTGATAAAATTTCTTCTTATAAAACCACTGTTTAATATGACATACTTAACTTTCAAGCATCCAAATGATAAAAATACACATAAAATATATCGAAATCCTTGGAAAGCATTGAAGGCATTTATTGTCTTCCACTTATGAAGACACTATCCACAAAAATGAATTAAAATTTAAAAAAATAGCCAAAGATCCTTTCTAATGGTCTAGTGTGGACAATTAAGATGTAGGGTGGTAGAATTGATTTGTTACATAAGTGGGAAGTAAAAGAATTAATATTTCTTCTTTTGCCTTGGACCCCTATAGCTAAATTAACACCTATAATTACTTTAGCCCCCTGTTACACATGTTTTGTTTGTAATCCTGTTTTTACCATAAACACTTTTAATTACAAGTTTCCTCAAACCCTTACTGAGCATATTTATGTGTGATTAATATATAAATTATTGTGGGCTCTTTCTCCATATAATTTTTACTTAAGATTTTAGTGAACTATATACTTGAATACAGTAGCTTTTCACCTATTATTTATAAGGGTCTGTTGTATTACAGGCAACTTTCTCTTCCTCACTACCCTCTTTGTGCTATTTGGGGACTTTTTTTTTTTTTCAACGTTTATTTATTTTTGGGACAGAGAGAGACAGAGCATGAACGGGGGAGGGGCAGAGTGAGAGGGAGACACAGAATCGGAAACAGGCTCCAGGCTCTGAGCCATCAGCCCAGAGCCCGACGCGGGGCTCGAACTCAGGGACCGCGAGATCGTGACCTGGCTGAAGTCGGACGCTTAACCGACTGCGCCACCCAGGCGCCCCAATTTGGGGATTTTTAAAGAAATTTAAATAATATCCTGCTCTTGATGTTGTCCCACCAGCAATGATCACCTCAACAAAATAAACTCGTTATATTTATTGATAGGATGTTTTCCTTTGAAAATGATATTAGTAAAACTTTTCTCTTTATCTTACCTCCTGACTATGTTTTAAAGTCATTCTCACCATTCCATTCTATTAAATAATAGAAAACATTTCCAGGGATTTGAATTCCTTTTGCATTTTTCAGATGAAACCAGAAGATTCTCACTTTGAAAGATGTTTGTTCTCCTTCCTAAAAAGAAATGTGAGAAAGAATTGCTACAACCAGGCAATTGGTCTTCACATGGATTTTCCCAAGAACGTGTCAAGGAAAGAAAACATTAAAAATAAGGACCCATGATGCAACTCTGGTTTCCCAGTATTTGTGCTAAAGTTGATGCTTACTCGAGAGATTCAGTTTCACTTGGAAGTTAATTTAGCACTTATTTTTACAAACTTCTTCAATCCCTAAGGTTGTGAATCAGAAACAGGATTCTCTAGAGATCAAAATCCCTGACTCCCGCACATTCTAAAGACCCAATTATCTTCACTTAAAGAGAATCTTCCCCAGCCATACATTTCTTGGAGTATTCATTGAATATGACTGTATTTGATGGCTTCTACAGAAGCTGGGGTTGGAATCAGAATATGTCCAAAAGGTCTCAGAAGAGTTAACCTTTTACCAAAAAAATTTTTTTTATTCCACAGATAATACCAGGTCAATCCTAAAATACT